GATATGATGATCCAATCCAGTTGCTGATCGATTTCTTGATTTCAGACCCCTTTTCCATTCATGCGACTACAACTTACATCGTCCTTAGCTATTCACTAATTAGTTATCTTCAAGGCAGAGCCCCCCACACATACCCTACTCCTCGCATAACAACAACAATCATATGATATAACAGAAGTTGAAATAACAACAAACAAAAAAATGAAAGACAACAGAAACGCGCTCCAAAAAATTCCGACTTAAGTGCTTTTAATTATCCAAAAGAATTCAGTGGTATTCTGAGTTTGGTATCCTTGTTTGTCATCATCGTCATACTTGGGGCTGCGTCTTAAAATTACAGGCGCGTTTGTATGGCGGCAGCGATCTGACTCTTTTTGTTGCCCTGTTCTGTATCCTATATTGTTGCTATTGTTGTTGTTGTTGTTGTTGTTGTTGTTATTGCTAGTGGCCCTTTGTCAGGGCTGTTTCAAAGTTTTAACGCATCATATGCAGGTTGCCTTACCAACGCCCATAAAAGGTGTGCAAGCAAACGCAACGATCCCTTTTATAAAGCATCTGCAGCATAAGTATTATAAAGGGCTGATATATAGGTACAAAAGTATAAATATATATATATATATATAAATATATATATATGTCTGTATGCCTTGCTTCGGGTAAAAGCATATTCATAACGCAATGAAAGCGAAAGCGTCAAACCCAAGGGCTGACTAACTGAGACAGGGCTGCAAGTTTTACTGTTTGTTTGCTTGGGAGGGGGCTCGAATCCTTCGTTTAATTAGAAATCCGATTCTCCTGCTCCTTTCGAACTATATTATAGCAAAAGGTGTGCTGTAAGCCGCTATTGAAATATATGATTGGCCTGTAGCTGATATTAATGTGGGATATTGCAACTTTAGGCTTAATTTATGTTATTGTGATAGACTGAAAGATACCCTGCACCAAATTTAAGCTTACTAGTGTTTAGATCTCAAGCTTCTAACGCCTCTTTGAACTGGCAAACAAAATATTCGAATACAAAATATGTTCAAAAGACTTTCATTATTGTTAGTGAAATTATGAAGATCAACTCAATAACTTTATAGCCATAAATTGGATAATATGGTCAGTGTGTAGCTGCTTCTAGTTGAGAGTTAACAATAATTGGACATAAAATACTTCCTGAATATGCGTGTTAGTTAGTGCATATTACAAGAGTTGCGCTTGGCAGTAGCAATGCGACGTCTGCGACATCAACTGGCGGCATCAGTTTTTGGTTAGAGACCGACGGCAAAACGCAGTGTGCGCTTCCTGGAAACTTATCGCACACACACACACATGCATACACACATAGGCACACACACATAGTGTCGCAGACTGCAGCCGTTAGAAGCGAATGCACTGCATCAATGAGGCATCATGAGAGCGGGCTGCTTATCGGCTTTTGATATTCAGTTGCGAGCTTTCTCAGGAGAAATGCCAGGGGATCTGGCCGATGCTGGTGGCGATGCCGGTGGTGGCTTACTTGGTGGTTGACTGGGTTCCAGGCAGCTGCCAAGATCAAGTTGATTGAAGGGCCTTTCAAAATAGAATACAAATAGTGAATTCAAGGCTCGCTCTCTTTGCGTTGGCATTGTAGGAAGTAAACTGCAGCGCAGTGCAAACAATGTGAAGGGACATGCTATAAAAATATTGTTATAAATGCAGAGGCTGCTCGCCACAAAAAGCAAAAAAAAAAAAAACAAAACAAATATGAAGAAGATAAAAATTGTTAAAATGGTATCCTGGCAACGGCTTAAGACTGTGAACCCAGGCACTTCATTGGCTGCAGGGCCGCAGGAGTGCGAGTGCGACTGCAAATGCGAGTACGTCGAGCATTGTGGCAAGTGGCAATGCTCGACGACGCCAACGACGATGCTGGAGGAGGACGGCTGGCAGCCAGCAGCAGAGGCAACGGCAGTTATGCCAAGTCAGCGTGATGCGCGCAAAGTGACGAGTTTTTAATGAATTTGTTTAACTCAGGTCAGGTCTGGCAGCCAGAGAGACAGCCAAAGTCTGGAGCCGATGTCTTTGGTGGAGTCTTCAAGAGCCAGGCAGAAGCAACAGCAAGTGCCCCATGCCTGTGCCCGTGCCCGTGCCCATGCGCCGTGCGTTCATGTTTGAAGTGTAGAGCCAGCTAGGATGTGCTGTGGACTTGTAGATTTGTGGATGCAAGCGCTGACGGCCCGTGACGACGACGACGACGACGACGAACTGTATGCTGCAAGGAGTTTTGAGTTCCTGCCTCTTCAGGCACTGTTGCAGTTACGTCCAAGTCGTCATCATCAGCGACGCCAGCGTCTAGCATGAGTGGTCTGGAATCTAGCAATGCAAACAATGGCAGTTTCACTTCAGCCACACTCACGTCCAGCGACAGCAACAGCTCCAGTTCCAGTTCCAGTTTCGCAGTTGAGCACCAGTCGCCGTCACTTTGTGTGTCCTTCGCCGTTCACTTTCGTTGACCACGAGGCGACGCGTTCGCCGATACATTTACTTGTATTTCTTTTCTTTTATTTTTATATATACTTTTTTTTTTTCATTTTCCTCTGTTTGCTCCTCTTGTGTTCAACAAAATGTTCCAAATTGTTGCGCACTGCAAACATTTCAAGAATTTGCGCTTAACAAACTTCGAAAAAATGCTTTTTTTATTTCCCTCCCAGTATATGTGTGCGTGTGTGTGCCGGGTTTTTATTTCTTTGTTTGCTCACTGCACTGAAATTTATACGCGGGCAAAGACTTTGGCAATAATTAAAACCAAACGAAACGCAACGCAAAACTGTTCCCACAAAACAAAAGACTTAGGCAACGAACTTGACAAGCGCCTTAGCCCAGCGACAGACACAGTTAGGCTAGTTATCTTTATAACTATGAAAAAAAAAAAACCCAAATTAAAAAAAACGCCAAGAGTCGAAGATCATTTGTCAAACCCGGAGCAACTGTTAAACCGCCAGTCGAACACATGTATTTGTTTAATTCGATTAACTTTGGGCCTGAACCTTGCTGGCTGCTGGCTAAAAGTATAACAAGTTTGAGCGCCGGCCAGCAGCGCGCTTTCCCACCATATTGGCAACAGTAACAACAACAACAACAACAACAACAGCTACAACTACAACATTAGCTGCCTATAAAAGGCTGGCAGCGATAAGACTATTTGAAGACACAGTGCCAACTCCAAAGTCGCCAGCCGGGTTACAATTTATCATCAAAGCCTAGCAGTTAGCCCAAAAGCCACCCGGCTGAATTTATGCCTCGCAACGAGCTACAAAAATTAATGTTAATTAATTTGACTTAAACTGACGATTTCAACAGTCACATTACTGCGGGGCATATGGCAAAAAAAAAGAGATCTGAGACAAAAAAAAAAATCATCAGAAGCCAGCCAAATAAAATCAAATCGATGCCAACAACAAACTTGATGCCCTGATGTCGCCTGATTTAGATTTAATTTCAGCCTCAAATTTAGATCGTCTGATAATGAAAAACAACAGTGTCTCTTAAGGTGCTTCAACGGACAGCTGACACTTTTGAGCTGAATTTTTAGTTAATTTTATGCTTATTTATTGCAAATGGCACGCCGAATTCTTTTTATTATATTCTCTTTGATCTCAGCTAGTTATCTATGCATGGCCATTTGATTTCATTTGATTTGGTATTTAATGTGCATTCAATTTAAATTCTTTTTTCTATTTTTCTATTAAATTTATTATTTGCATCATTAATGCCGACCAGCAGCCGGGCAGGGCAACAGTTTTAACAGTAAATGAAAAATAGAGCGCTGCTCATAAATTATGTTTATGCTTGTCATTGGATACTGAACAACTTTTAATTGTTTGTGCAAATTCAATTAGACAAATCGTGAGTCTCACTCTTAAAAGTCCCCACTCTGAGTCGCACACACACACACACACCAAAGCTCTCGTACTCACACGGCCACAGCAGTAGCCTGGTCCAAAGAATGCGCCAACTTTAATGTTTTGTTGTTGTATTTGTTGTTGCTATCTTCTCCGTGGTTGTCGTCTTCGTTGCTTGCCTGTTAGCCAGCCAGCCATCCAGCCAGCCAGCCTGCTCTGCCTGCTCCGTGTCTGAGCAGCGGCGGCTACTCGAGCGACTCATTCCGTTTCCAACGCACATTCGCGCTCTGTCCTCGAGTAAAAATTCTCTAAACATGCTGTCAAGTTATGTCTACATTCCTTGATCATATTTTTTCCAACTTTTTATACCCTGTGTGCATATGTGTGCATGTCGAGTGTGTGTGAGCTGCCATTGCAGCTCGCTCTCGCTCCGGCAAGAGCAAAAGTAGCCACAACCACCAATACCAGCAAATACTAGTTTCTTAATGTGGCGCAGCAAATGTGCCGCGCTGAGCATAAAAATCAACAACACGAACGTTTCAAGAGCTACAAATGGGCATTAAAATGTCCACAGTCTGCATGGCTCAGCTGAGTGCTCTCGCTCTTTTTCTCTCTGTCGCTCTCTCTCGCTCTTTGAAATTCTCTCCCAAGCAATTGAGTGAAAAACTGAGAGTGAGTTTCTGTTTGCTCTTAAGAGCTGCTCTTAGGATTTTACATAGCACTTGTTATAAAATTTATTTTATAATGAAAACGGCTTTAAAAGAAATTTTTAAAAATTTGAACAAAATATTGAAATATGCAAAGATTCAAAATTACAGCAAAATGAAGCAAGCATATATTAAAATTTGTTTTTTTTATTTATTGACGTTTTACCGTCGGCCTAGTTGAATAATAGACAGCCTATTACTGCATTTACCAGGCTTATCCGTGAATAAAATCCATAAAAACTTTAATAAATATTTATTCATGGCCAATTTCAGCATTTAATTGTCCTGTGATTGGTTCATTTGAATGCAGCTCAAATATATCCGATCGGTTTTAAATGTATCTGTCTATATATTTGTCCATTCTACCTCAAATCAGTTCAGAAAGTCATGTCATGTCATTCACATTCGTTTTGTAGTGCTTTGAGTCTAGTATTTTTTAACGCATAAAATGCCTCAAAAATGGTTCCATTTTTGTATGATATTCGCTTGCATTACAAACATGAGCTTTGCGCAGAAGGTACGTGTCTGTCCATCAAAAAGTAAACAGAACTTAATTTATTTTAATATTTTGTAAAGCAAATACTCTTTACAAAAGTGCAATGCGTCCTAATGAGTAGCCAATTCATCAAGGTGGACTGTGTTCAAGAGAGCAACAACTCGATTACGATCCATCTAACGACAAACAACAAGGACATTGCGAATTTGTGGATTGTATCGGATCTGAATCTTTATATATTTGGCGTTAAGAATGTGATGCGTCTTCATGGACTGCGCACAGAATATTGCAAAGCTCCCACACCAGGCAGCCGGCCCAATCTACAGACCATGCTATACCAGGGCATAAAGAACGCCCAAAAGTGTCCACTTAGAAGGGTGAGCCTAGACTACAGGGGGTGCCCCCTAGATTGTGACAGCTTAGACAGCTTATGCTCCATTAAATCAATTACAGAACAGCAGCTATTTGTTCGCGCAGATTAAGTTCGATGCGAACTATTTGCCCTCTTATCTACCGGAATACAACTTCACTTACGTTGGTAATTTATTTGGGGACAGTGTGAAAAGCGGAGAGTTGCGAATGCTTGGATCGTTTTGTTTTACCTATAACGATTGCACGGGCACTGCCAAAGCTAATGTTTAATATAGTACAATTGTAATATAATAATACATTTTTCGGCTATAAACTATAAACAAAAACTATATATGGGAAACGTGAACATTTAATGGGTTCTTGATTGTTATGCACAGCAATGTGTTTAAAAATCAATTGACAATATTTATCTCATTTATCTTGATCTACTGTGAAATTATATATTTTAGTACGTAACGAATTTTGTCATTTGAATATTGACAATCAAAGTTAAGTGAATTGTTCATTTTTACCGCAAGTACTCGCGGCTCAGTTGCTCGTCAAATGCAACAAAAACGTTGTCTGAATTTTATATTTTTTGTCTGGCTGCTAAGTCTTAGCTTTGCCCAGAAGGTAAGTCTCTGGCAGTATAGCAACCACAAGTCACATAATACGGACTGTGTTTCGTTAAGAAAATCATCTTTACAAAGCTACAATGTCCACTCAAGAGCAACCGAATGGACAAGGTCGAGTGCTTTATTGAGCAGAGCAGCGCTTTCACAATTCAAGCAACGACCAATGACATTGAGGTGCAGAATCTGGTGGGCATATCGGATTTGAATATATTTATATATGGCAAAAAAAGTGTCATGCGTTTCAAAGGAGTTCGCCTCGATATTTGCAAACTGAATGCCAGCAATCGACCCTCCCTGATGGCCATGCTGCAAATGGGTATACAACGAACCGACAATAATTTGCCCAAAGAGTGTCCCTTAAAGCGGGTGAGTCTAAAACAAAACCGAAAAAAAAAGGAGGCGTGTAGTTTAACAGATGGCTTTCGCTCGACCAAACGATTGCAGAACACGACCTATGTATTGCGGCACATGAGGTTCGATGGCAATTATTTGCCCGTCTATTTGCCGGAATATAACTTCACATACATTGGCAAATTTCATGCGAATCATGTAAACACGTTTGAGGTGCGACTCGAGGGTTCCATATGTTATGCCACAAACGATTGCACGGGTGCCAAAGGGGTAGCTAAAACTACGGAGATATAATCAAGATTGGATTTATTTAGAAACATTCTAATATGGAATAAATACCGTGCATGGATTGCTTGAGCTTTTAAATATATGCCAATTACTGAATGTGCGTGAAATTATTTTTAAGCGCCCCAATACACATTTCAGATCATAGACTATAGTTATATATCGCACTTATATTTAATCAGTTTTGTGTTATGCGCAAACCTGTTGAGTGCTACGCGAAATGCAAGAAATACGATATATTTTTGGTACATTAGTAGCTTGCATGCTTATCCTAAGCCATGCTCAGAAGGTATTGCAAACTAGACCATATAAAATGGATTCAATTTACATTGCACTTCTCACCATATTTAAGCGCATTGTGATTACCAAAGTGCAGTGCGCTATAAAAAGCAATAAGGTCGTCAATGTTGGATGCTTTCTGGAGGAGAATAGCGCATTTACTTTCCAATCAACGGTGGGCAACAAAGATGTCGGTAATTTAGTGGGCATAATGGAGCTGAGTCTCTCGGTTGAGGGTCAGCGCAAGGTGACCAGAATAAATGGTGTACGCCTGGACATATGCAAGATGTTGGATGCCGTCATACGACCCTCCATGCTGAGCTTTATATTTCAAGGCATACAGCAGACGGACAACAACATGCCCCGCAGATGTCCCTTCAAGAGGGTGAGTCGTGGCCACGAACAGGGGCGTCTCCCAAAGGCAGATGTTACCCACTTTACCGTTTGCAGAACGTCACCTATATATTGCGGCACATGAAGTTCGATGCTAACTCCTTGCCCGTCTATCTGCCCGAGTACAATTTCACATTCATTGGCAAATTCTATGGCAACAATGCGAATCTTTTCGATTTACGTGTCGGTGGCTCCCTTTGTCATAGCGACAAAGATTGCACTGGAAGCGAAGCTAACAGCGAGGCTTTAAATTAATTTGTGCTTTTGACCGCAAATAAATTTTATGCATGAGTTCACTAGCTAAATTGAACCGGATGCTATTAAAAAACAAGTGGACCTATCTTGATGAACTGTGATATTATTGATTTAATTGCTCAATACTTCGCAATTTTGTGTCTGCTGTCTATAAATTGATGAGCAGCATCTGTTACGGCTTGTTTCTTCTTAGAATTGTCAACCAGTTGACAAATGCAACTGGCAGGGAACTATTTTTGGATCATTTTTCACTGGTCGCTTGTCCTCATCCTCGCCCAGAAGGTATTTTGTGTTGCGCGTGCCTCTCTATTAAATTCTTACACATTTTGTTAAGAAAATCATATTTACAAGTGTGCAATGTCCCCTGAGGAGCAGTAAAATAGCCTGGATCGAGTGCACTATGGAGGACAACAGCACGATTTCAATTGAAGGAGCTACTAACGATAATGAGGTCGTCAATATGGTGGGCATCGCGGAGCTGCAAATATTGGGCGGAAAGAAACGAATGCGTATTCCTGGCATACGTCTGGAATTCTGCAAACTCCTGGGTGCCAGCAGTCGTCGCTCGCTATTGAGCTTTTTTAACAAGGGAATACAGCAGGCGGATAGTAATTTTCCCAAAAAGTGCCCCTTCAAGCGGGTGAGTCAGCCTTTGGGGCACATCCTTAAGCAGGTGCTTTACATACTATAAGACCCGTATAGAATACCACCTACAGTATGCGACACATGAAGTTCGATGCGAATTACTTACCCTACTATTTGGCCGAGTACAATTTCTCGTTTATTGGCAAGTTTATGGAAAACGCTGCGATGCTCTTTGAGGTGCGGGCTAAAGGCTCATTTTGTTATATCAATAATGATTGCACTGGAGCAGGAGCCAACAGCTCGGCGACATGATTGTGCATGTTGGTTAAGTGAATAAATAAAATGTATCTGAGTTCTGTCAAAGAGCGCACGAGTTTCACTCAAAATGAAACAGAATAAAAATAATCCGGCATGCCTCTGACTAAGAGAGCGCCACAGAGTGCCAGAGAGTTTGAGCGTAGCTGCAATTGAGCCGGCCCCGGGCCGGGTCTGAGCTGAGCTGAGCTGAGTTGTGGTGCGGTCCGGTTCGGTCTTTAACTAAGCCTGGCGACAGCTCTCCAGCCGACAGTCTGCCATCGAAACTCGAACGAAGCGGTACGCCTGCGCGCACGTTTTCCCACTGTCAGATACTAAATTGAAGACAGTTGTCAAACTGCAAAGAAAAGTGCATAAAAGTTGGCAAGTTTTTTGGCCAAATCAATGATCGAGAACGAGACAAGTTATATATTGATATAGTTATGGAAGATATCTGTATATAGATTATATGCACTTATGAAAGACAACAGCGCAAACGCAAACGCGAGAACGGCAAATATAAAAATAAAGGAGAAATAAAAATAAAAAAGCATAAAAATTCCTCAGATCGTTCGGTGTGCGGCGCACAACGTGAATGTTGCGGACGGTCAAGCGAACAAAAAGCCCTGAAAAATAAAATAAAAATAAGAAATACAAAATAAAATCAAGCAAAGGTGCGAGACAAGAAATTAAATTGATAAACCTAAAAGCAAAAGCAAGCGCAACAACAACAACAACAACAACAACAACAAGGAACCCTTGACCGTGCCTAGTCGCAGAGCCTTGGCAGGACTTGGTGCCCAGTGACTGGGACTTGGACTTGGACTTGTCGCGCTGCTGTGGCAATTATCAAGCGCAGTGCATCAGGCTGGGAATGCCAAACGACTGTAGACAAGTCGCAAGTGTGTGTGTGTGTGTGTTACGCGCGCGCTTGTGTGTGTGTGTGTGCGCGTCTTTGCTTATGTGTGTGGTAAATAGCTCAAAGCCACGAAATTGCTTTTATCGGCGCGCCAAAATCGCCAATTGGAAAAATTGAAAAAAAAAAATAAGAAAACACATCCAAACAAAACACAAAAAACAAAAAACAACAACAACAACAAGAAAAAACTGTTAAACTAGTTGACCAGAAACAGCTTTTAGGCCCTTTACTCAAGGTAAAAACTTAAACTAAAAACAAAAGCAACAACAACAACAAGCGCATCGCGTGGAGGCCGCGATAAACTCCAAAAACCGCGGACCAGAGAGCGAGGAAATTGCTAAAATATTACCCGAAAGGCATATTCGCTATGTGCATACATGTGCAGCGGCCCACAGATACAGACAACAACAACAGCAATAACAACAACAATAACAACTGCGACGGCACTGCAAAATGTATAATAAAAAATTACAACAAGTGATCGTGCAGAAAATAGATCGATAAACCGACCAAAAAAAAAAAAAAAATAGAAAATAAAGCAACAGAATTGAAGCAGCAAAAAATAAATAAAGCGGCGTTGGGCACGTTTTTTTTGCTGTTTCAATTTCAATTGTGGAAATCGTAGAAAAATCGCCAAAACGTACTAAACCAACCGGTCAGAGCAGCGCCAGAGCGAGCGAGCGAGACAGGAAGCGAAAGACAGAGGGAGAGAGATAGAGACGGCTCGCCGATAGAACTAGCTGGAGCAAAAGGACTAGACCCACAGACCCGATAAAGCCCTGGGATCAGGCGCAATATTTATTAAACAAAGCCAGAAATTAATTTCACGACTTTCGTCGGACGACGACGACGCCGACGAGCTGCATCTGAGTTTCATCTGGTTAAAGCGTGCGCAACGCCCTGCATGCCGCAGCCGGCTTCTTTAGGCGCAGCTTGAACTTGCACTCAGTTTGAGCGGGCCACAGAGAGAGACAGAGAGAGAGACAGACAGAGCGAGAGAGCGAGCGAGGTAGAGGGAGAGCAGCAGTTCGGTGACTGCAGCAGCAAAATGTACGACATCAAGCGCCTGGAAGCCGGACAACAGCAGCTACAACAACAAATACAACAACCACAACAACAACCACAACAACTGCAACAGCCAACACTTGGCCATACTCTAAACGATCGTCTGAACGGCTCTGCGCCGCTTCAGCTCACCTGCAGCGTTATAACGCCCACGCCGCTCGCTGCAACGACGCCGAAGAGCCACTGCAACAGCAGCATCAGCAGCCATACCAGCAGCAGCCCCATTGAAGCCACACACATGACGCTGTTGACGCTGCGCCGTCGCCGGGCGTTCCAGCGTCGCGCCTGCCTGCTCAGCATACTGGCCGCCTTTGTCTTTGGCATGGCGCTGGGCGTCATCGTGCCCATGCTCGGACTGCCCGACTACTTTGCCAACGACAGCAGCGGAAGCGAGAGCAGCGGCAGCGGCAGCGGGAGCAGCGTTGAATCAGCGGCTGCCACACTTAAGCTCAGCGAGGAGCCATCCGGCAGCAACTACGAGCGACCGCCGCTGCCGTACAGCGTGTCCTTTATACGCGAGGAGGCCGAGCAGCTGGCCAATGTGGAGCTGAGCGCGGAGCAGGTCTTTCGGAATGCCTTTCATCTGGAGCAGGACAAGAATGCGCCCGACTCGATGATAGTCAAGAAACTGGATACCAACGATGGCAGCATCAAGGAGTTCCATGTGCAGCGCACCGCCAACGGACGCTATCGCAAAGGACCCGAGCGTCGCCTGACCAAGACCCAGCCGCAGCCGGAGCGCAGCAAATCCCAAGCCAAGTCCCAGCAGCAGCAGCAGCAGCCACAGGGCACGGCGGGCATCATTGAGTCGGACATCTACTGGGGCGAGCTGGTTGAGCGTGCGCTGCCGCAGGGCTTTGCTGCCGCGGATCAGCACAACTGGGAGCGCTATGTGGCCGGCCAGGGTCAGGTGGTGCGTCTGGAGCATGGCTGCGGCCGCATGCAGAATCGCCTGGTCGTGTTCGCCGATGGGACGCGGGCCTGTGCACGCTATCGCCAGAACACAGATCAGATACAGGGCGAGATATTTAGCTACTATCTGGGCCAATTGCTGAACATTAGCAATCTGGCGCCCAGTGCGGCGACAGTCATTGACACCACGACGCCAAGCTGGTCAACGGCATTGGGCGACATTACCCAGGCCCAGTGGAAGGAGCACAGGCCGGTGGTGTTAACGCGTTGGCTGGCCGATCTGGAGCCAGCCGGCATACCACAACCGTTTCAGCCACTGGAGCGGCATCTCAACAAGTACGATGTCTGGAATATAACACAGCAAATGCAGCGGGAGACGGTAGATGATGGTACGATTCAGTCGCGCGGATTACTCAAGCGGCTGGAGGCTGCCAGCGGCCAAACGGGCGCTCATCAATCACGCACGCTTAAGGAGAACGCCACAGAGTTGTCCTCAGGTGCCGCAGTCGCAGCCGCATCCTCGACAGCGTCGTCATCGTCGTCGTCGTCGTCGTCGTCGTCGACGCTGCTGCAGCGACTAATTGAATTGGCACAATGGTCCGATTTAATCGTCTTCGATTACCTGATCGCGAACCTCGATCGTGTCGTTAATAACTTGTACAACTTTCAATGGAATGCCGACATTATGGCTGCGCCGGCTCACAATCTGGCACGGCAGAGCGATACGCAGCTGCTCGTGTTTCTGGACAACGAATCGGGCCTACTCCATGGCTATCGGCTGCTCAAGAAGTATGAGGCCTATCACAGTCTGCTATTGGACAATCTGTGCATCTTTCGACGACCCACCATTGAGGCGCTGCAGCGTTTGCGTGTGGAGGGCGCGGGTCGCCAACTGCGCGATCTTTTCGAGCGCACAACCAGCCCGAATGTGCGTGATGTGCTGCCCTCTCTGCCGGATAAATCAATCAAGATTCTGGCGGAACGCATCGATCGCGTGCTGGCCCAGGTACACAAGTGCAGGGACAGCAACAAGACCAGCTAATGAAACGAACGATAACGAATCCAACTACATATAACATATATATATAAATATATATGCATTAACATATATATAAATATATATATATATACATATACATATATATATGTATATTTCTCGACTGATAAGTTGTAAATATCGTTAAACTAAATGTTCGCCTTGTTAAACACACATGCTTATTAATCTAAGTGATTTAACTTAATCAAATGCCAAATGTTCACAACTGGCCCGGCTCAAATAGTCAATAGAAGAAGAGAACAGCTTAACAATTTCCATATAAATCGGTGGGCCAAGTACGAGTATTAGCAGGACATCAGATCAATATCTAAAGCGAGTATTAAGCATTAACTTTCGCAATTAAGTTCTAGCGTTAATAATTGTTTTATTTTTAATTCCATTTCGTATTTAGTTTGAGATACATTTGTTGTGATATTTTGTTTAAGCATTTAGTGAAAACTAATTTCTAATCTGTAAGTAGATATCATTTTTTGTATAATTTATGGGCCATTTTCCTTAAGCGAAACAAATAAAAAGAAAAACCACAAAAAAAAAAGCCAATATACAGAGCGAATCAAATCAGAAACAGCGACTACTTAAAGCACTTGCTTTGCACAGATACAAATGTTGAGATGCAGATACAGATACACCAGGCTGCAGATACATATTTGTTGTGGTTGTTGTTGCACGCCGCACGTTGCATATGAGCACGCCTGCGCCAGTGAGAACTTACATAGTCATGACAATAAATTGTCATTGATCTTTTTTGCAGGTGAAGATGCCAAGAGATGAGCAGCAGCTGCGACTCCAACTCCAACTCCGACTCCAACTCCAGCACCGACTGCTCCTAGTGCTGCACGGGCCGCACTCGGTAACTACTCCCATGGCTGTCTCGTCTCTGCGCTGCATTTGTCAACTTGCCAGCAGCGCAGTAACTTGCCACAAAATGCTGTTGCTGTTGCTGTTGGAGTCGTCGCCAGCCTCTCTGCCTCTCAAGTGGCTCTGTTGTCACGCAGGCCGCAGACTCTGGCTCTGCCTCTGCCTCTGCAACGGCCTCGGCCTCAAACTCCAACTCCAGCCAAATCGGCCTCGGCTTGCTTTTCATAATATCTTCATAAGCATTTGAA